AAAGGCCTCATTAAAACACTTCCAGCCCACCTACATTCAGAACTTATAAATGCAATTCCTGATCATCCAGAAATCGGGGACTTCTACATGCTACCCAAAATCCATAAGCCAGGAAATCCAGGCAGACCCATCATAACAGGTATGAATACACTCACCGAACAAATCTCAGGCTTTGTAGAAAAATTTTTAAAACCATTAGTCAAGAACACTGCTAGTTTCCTGCAAGACACAACTGACTTTCTGAACAAGATCAACAACATACAGCAATTACCATCTAAATACACTTCTAGTGACTATGAATGTAGTATCCCTGTATAGTAATATTCCTCACAAGGATGGATTAGCTGCATGTCACAGATCCTTATCATCCTCACCAAATCACAAATACACTGCTGAGGATGTTACACAGCTCATTGAATTCATACTTACACACAACTACTTTACCTTCAATAAAGACACCTATCTTCAATGTATGGGTACTGCAATGGGAAGTAAAATGGCACCCCAATATGCCAATTTATTTATGGCTGACCTGGAGGAAAAATTCCTGAACAGCATGGAACAAAAAACATATAGATACTATCACTATATTGATATTTTCATCATATGGACAGAAGGTGAAGAAAACCTAAAACAATTTTATTCATTGATTAACACTTTTCATCCATCAATCAAACTAAAAATGGAATACTCAAACACATGCGTCAACTTCCTAGACACCACAGTATACATCAGGGATGATATGCTTCACACCTCAATATACAGGAAACCCACTGACAGATGCAACTACCTCCACAGTTCTAGTTTCCACCCCCAACACACGAAATGTGCCATCATACACAGTCAGGCCATTAGACACCACCGAATATGTTCTGACCCAAGAGACAGAGATACACATATTGGGACACTAGCAGACTCCTTCCATAAGAAAGGTTACAAGGACAAAACTATCAACACCAGCATAAACACAGCCTTGAGAACCCGAAGGGAAAATCTACTTCAGTACAAAGAGAAAAAAACAAATAACCGTGCACCTTTAGTAACCACATACAACCCAGCACTAGAAGGAATAAGAAAAATAATCAAAAAATAATTTGCAACCCATCATAACAGAGGATGGAACTCTGAAAGAAATATTCCAACAACCCCCAATACTGGCTTTCAGACAACCCCTCAACCTCAGAAATAAAACTAATCAGTAGGAAATTTCCTTCTGATTAAGATGCCACAAATAATGGAAGCAAACCCTGCAATAAAAAACGCTGCAAACTGTGCAACCAAATCAATCCATCAAAAAGTGTCAGACACTCAAAAGGGATCTTCAATATCTCCGGATCATACAGCTGCACCTCTAGTAATCTTGTGTACCTTATACAGTGCAGAAAATGTAGCAAAGGATCTTATGTTGGCGAAACAGGACAGAAGTTGCAAATAAGGATGAATTTGCACAGACATACCATCAAGGAACATAAAGAAGATGACTTTTGCACACCTGCGGGACACCATTTCGCACAACCAGACCACATTATGGAAGACCTCAATGTTTTAGTTCTTAAAGGAAATTTCAAATCCATTCAGGAAAGAAAAACTTTTGAACTAAGAATGATAATTCTATTTGACACAAGAGATAAGGGCCTTAATTTGGACATGGGATTCCTCAAGCATTATCCAACATTTTTATGACTCTCTCTGTGAGTGTTGTTCCCCCCCCCCCCCCCAGTCTTTGCTTTTGCTTTGTTGTATCTTATCTCTAGTCTAACCCTAGGCTTGTGTTTCTTTCTTTCTGCTTTTTTTTTTTCTCATCCCCCACATCTCTTCTAACATTCTGCTAAAACATTGTAATAGTACTGCTTGGACCTTGAGGAAGTGGACATACCCCGAAAGCTTGTCCTCAAAATTGTATGTTAGTGCAAATAAAAAAAAGTATCACAGACAGTACTCAATTTTTCTGTCGCAAGTGCACTAATACGGCTACAATCACCTCAAACACTAACACCACAAAAATCCAAGAAAAGTGTTAAGCTTCTGGGTCCACTTAAAATGGATGACCAAAATAATTAGTGATGTGTATATATTCAGTCATGTATACGACAGACAAGTTCACTAGTCATTACCATATACAAAAAAGTGGGAGGATGATGTCCCACCAAAAATACACAGATGTATGAACACATCAGACAGCATGACCATCCTGTATTCAGCACCCAGGGCATGGGTACATACTAACAATACCCTCTTAGGTCTCTTTGGCCTACAGCGGAGAACACATCAGAGATGCCCACTCCCCCCCCCCCCCCCCCCCAGCTTGTTTGTCCTATGCTCTCCCTTATCTGTACAGGATTTTAAAGGGACACTAAACTACATTTTTTTACATCAATCATTGTAAAATAGAAAGTGGCTTATTTTTTGCATAAAAAATCTCTTACCATTGCTTTCAGGCGTTTTTCATGCCTTGTGCACACTCCCGACCCACCACTGATGCACCTAGTAGTGTAGAGCGAGCAGTCTGAGAAAATCAGTTCTAAAAATGACTCATGAAAGCAAAACTTTACCCATAACAACTGGATAGAAAATAATGTTCTTTAGCAAGGAATTCCTCCAGCATTGATAATGTTTCTTCTTGCTGGAAGCTACTATTTTGCTAAAGCCCCAAATCCCCTAAGCATCAGTAAAGCTTTAGGCTGTCAAAAGATTGGCCTCTAAATTTTCGGCACAGTGCCAAAAAAGTAGAGAGCAACTGAACATGTACAGAGACAGTGTATTACCGAATGTTAAATAGTATAGGTGTCTATTTTTAATGTTTTACATAGCTATACCTACAAAAAGGGGCCAGCCTGAAGTGATCTAGTAGGACTTAGTTTTCTGACTAAAGTTCCACTTGGAGGTCATTTAGGCATGGTGTGGACAAAACAACTTTGCAAAGAAGCAGTGTAGTAACCTGCTATAGACAACCAATTAGAAACTTTAGTTTACACTTATGAACCGTGCTTGGTCATTGTCAAAAATCAGAAGAAAACAGCTGCTCCATTACAAGTCCATTAGATTACATCCAATTGGATGCATGTGGTGAAATTACAGTAGCACCAAAACATCAAAGATACTGTTCGGTAGCCTATGATTTGTACATTACCAACAACAGTCCACAATTTATTCAAAAGAGTTTGAGACTTTCCTTAATTTAAAACCATAATACCATCCACAGGCCAATGGAGATGTGAAAGTTTTAACCCAACATTTAAAAATGGCCTAAAGACACATCTGCATGAGGGACTCTTTGTCAGCAATGCTACAACTACTTATAGCCAAAACTTATAGTGATGCACAAAGAAACGCTAACACAGCTACCCTCATTCCTGGCCAGTGGGCAAGGACAAGGAAGCCACCAAGTCACAGTTAATCCCAGTCTATCTAGTCCTGTAATCCCAGTCTATCTAATTCTGTGCAAGTCCACAGCCAATTGGAACCAGTAACCTATAGGCTGTAGGATGGATCAACTTGACATGTGAGCAGGTCAGTACCTAATCAAGACCCTTTGGTCAGGAAGAACACTACTCCTAATTGGCTTACTTGGGATGATGCATCTAGCCCTACCACACAGCCACAAGCTCCTGGAAGCCCCGACAACAAGTCCCAATCTCATGAACTGGAAGTCTGCAAAGTCCAGAACGCACCAAAACTTTACCTAGGCACCTGATAGCTTACAAAAGAGAGTAGGACAAACCCCCAAAACAATTCTTCCATTATATTATTAGTAAAAAGGTCAGGTCTGAGCATGTAGGAAAAATAATCTAGAGCGAGGGACTGGGGACAAAGAGAAGGCAAATTTATTAAATACCTTTTTCAGCAAATACAAAGGAGCATGGGGGATAATATTGACACAGCCCCAAATGAACCACTCAAAATTGATATGGTCTAGAAATATTTACTCAGAAAGCACCAGGACAAGATGGCATACACCCATGTGTACTAGAAGAATTGAAGTCTGTCATTTCAAAGCCATTGATTCAAATTTTTAGGGACTCTTTAACCACTTCCATGCCACCCTATAGCAGAAATACTGCTACAGGGCAGCACGGCTGCGCAAAATCATGTATATACGTGATTTTGCAGTTCTGGGTAAAGGGCGCACGAGCCCTACCTGCGCCTCAGCTGTCGCTCACCAGGTCCCGGCCGGTGATTCCCTGCAGGCACCCGGCGATTGCCGAGTATCACTGATGGGGGAGATACCTGTATGTAAACAATACAGATCTCTCCCGTGTCAGCTCCTGCACACTGCTTTGTATGGCTCTGCATAGCAGAGCCATACAAAGCAGTATGCTTACAGTGTAAAGCACTCACACAGCACACAGTAAAACAGCACACAGTTAACCCTTTGATCGCCCCAGATGTTAACCCCTTCCTGCCCAGTGTCATTAGTACAGTGTCAGTGCTTTGTATTAGCACTGATCACTGTATTGATGTCACTGGGGATGTCAGTGACAGTTTGTCAGTTACCCCCTAGTATCAGAATGTCTGCCGCAGTCCCGCTATAAGTTGCTGATCACCGCTATTACTAGTAAAAAATAAAAAAAAATCCAGTATATACTGTATACCGCAATTTGTAAACGCTATAAATCATAAATTCAGGCCAAAATGTATTCTGCTACATAATAAGTATAAATCAGCACACATATATATATATATAAAAAATCCTCAAAAATCCCTTAAAGTCATATCAATATCCTTCCCCTGAAGTACTAATAAAATATATATTCATTGACTTAAACCCAAAAACCCACAATTATAGTGAAAAGATCAATCTCTTTGGGTTTTGATCTTTTCACTATATTTGTGGGTTTTTGGGTTTAAGTCAATGAATATATATTCTGCTACATGTCTTTGCTAAAAATAATCCCAATATGTGTAAATTAATTGGTTTACGTGAAAAGTGTAGCGATTACAAATGGCAGTATATATACTGGGTTTTTTTGTTTTTACTAGTAGTGGCGGCAATCAGCAACTTATAGCAGGACTGCAGCAGGCATTCTGACACTGGGGGGAACTAACTTGGTGTCACTGACATCCCCAGTGACATCAATACAGCGATCAGCGGTAATATAAAGCACTGACACTGTACTGGGCAGGAAGGGGTTAACATCTGGGGTGATCAAAGAGTTATCTGTGTGCCTTATGCTGTTTTACATACTGGGCTGTGTTTGTGCTTCACTGTAAGCACACTGCTTTGCATGGCTGTGCTATGCACAGCCATGCAAAGCAGTGTGCAGAAACTGACAGGGGAGAGAACTTTTTTGGTTATAAACAGTTCTACCCCCTGTTGGAGATGCTCGGCAGTCACTGAACGCCGGCGAGTAACCACCGGCCAGGACCAGGTGATTGACAGCCGAGGCCGCGAATGACGGATGGCTAATTCCCTACCCAGAAATGCAAAATCATGTATATATACATGATTTTGCGCACCTGTGCCTCCCTGTAGCAGTACTTCTGCTATAGGGCCGACGGGAAACTGTTAATAGTGTTTGCAAGTGTAGCACTACTCCTGTAGGAGCTGCTAGAATACTATGCAGGTTCTCCTCAGTTACGTAGCCTCACAGCCAGGCACATAGGCTCATTCACGTTTCTCCAACAACTAGTCTAAAGTTGTTGTTTTTATTTTTGAAGAACTGGGATAGGGATGAGAGAGATGAGTGGGATACTCCAAATTAGGAATTATGTACATTGAGGACTTTGTCTAATCTTCAGGGCAAGCTTTATTGGAGTCCTTGCGTGAATCAAACAGTTCACTTCAGCTAAAGGCAGTAGCAACAAGTAGTAGCAGTAACTTTCATAGAGCCCCAGAGCAGTGTCCCTTTAAGTAGTAGTGGACAGGTGGACAAAGTTCCAGCCAGAATTCCCTTTGCTTACACAGCACAGAACTGAAAAGAATAGGCATTGTGGAAAATGCTCTCAGTCAAGAACTTTAATGAAGGTGCATCTTTATTAACTGAGATAAAGTAGCAAATATAATAAAATTTGACCAGCATGAAGTGAATAGTGTGACTCCAAAGGATGGCCCGTCTGCTCTGAAGGGAGCTGAGATCAGAAAATGCTCCTGTCGGCTTCGAATCACGTGGGGTCAGCGTACCAGCATCTTGGGTGGATTCATCACGGCAAGCGAAGGGCAAAAGGCAGTGTCTGGCGTCAGCTTCAGCTGGGAGCGTATGCAGGGTTACCAAGACGACATGTTTTGCGCAGTTGCCCTTTGCCAAGTCTCTGGTAAACCTGGCCTCTGGTCTCTGGCCGGCAGCCATTATATAGAAGACCATTAGAGGGAAGGCTGGCTGCGTGTAATTAGCAGGGGATGGGGTGTCAATCAGAGCGGACAGCTCGTCCTGAAGCAATGCTAAATACAAAATTAAAAGTACAATTGCAAGTTATAGAAAGTGATGCCAATTAATGGAGTGATATGTATAAGAACACTATTGGAAGACATAATATACTTTTATCTTCAGCCGAATTAATGTAATAATAAAACAATAAAATAATAAAAGGAAAATTGTCTTGTGGGAGAACTCTAAGTTAAAAATTACATTGCTGGTACATGGAAGCTATATCTATGTCAAAAAATGTGTTTATATGGTGGAAATTTTGAGCATATGGATGAAGAAGGGAGAGGGAAAAAGGTTGGCATGTGAAGGTAAAAGTGACTGCATAAAAGGTACTGCTAAAAGAAATATAGTAAAATCAATATGGGTATCAAATTAGGTAGCTCATATATTCATAATCAAGTGAACGCAATAGATGCGTAGTTACATATATTCATAATTGAGTGAACGCAATATATATACGTGGTAACAGTAAATGTTAAAAGACAAGTGTTAGAAGAAAACAATAATGTACATAAAAGAAATATCAGTAAATAATGGTTGAGCGAAAAAAACAGGAGGATTCTAATTCCGGGGACTATTGGTCATACTTGTTAGATAATACTATGGATTTCAAGATCCTCATTAAGACCATTGGGGGTCATAGAACCTAACTTGTAAATCCAGAATGTCTCTCCCTTACATAAACGGGCTAGTCTTTCGTTATCAATAAATGTACCCTTTGGAATATGTCCGATTGCTAGGACCTCAAGAAGACTGAAATTCTTTTGATTAGAGTGCAAAAAGTGCCTGGGGACGCTATGCTTATCACAACCATCTCTTATAAGTCTTCTATGCTCCCCTATGCATTTGCATAGAGGGCGTGTGGTTCAGACTACGTATAGGAGCTTACACGGGCATGTGAGGACGTATATGACGTGGTGGTCAGTTGCACACGTGATAAACTGACAGATGTTATAGCTGTTACCCTGGAAGTCCAACACCTGTGATCTGCCATGGGTGATGGACTGACAGGTGAGACAACCTCTTTTGTTGCATCTATAGATAATTGTTCTGTCGCCAAATGTAGGAAGGGGGCCCTTATCTTTCTAGGTGGATGGTGACATTTTGTTTGGGGCTAGAAAATTTTTTTTTCAAAGTACGGGCTCTCTTGAGAATCATGGTGCTATCCCTTTTTGTCTTCCTCCCTTGCCTCTACCTTCATTACATTTTGTCATTCTTCATTTGTGAGAATGATTTAAGGGGTTTTCTTTTGTTATTAGTTTTTCCCTTTCACCTCAGGACCGGATCCAGCTGGTCTGATGTGGAGATGCAGTAAAAATTTTAGCAGGGCAGAAGATAGAGTCAGCAGTTTGCAGGTTACTGTACAGGGGTCAGCAGGGCAGAGGATGGGGCAGCAAGGCAAAAGATGGGAAGTCAGCAGAAGAGTGTATAGGAATCAGTAGGGCAATGTACAGTGGCCCATAGGGCAGAGAACAGTGGTCAGAAAAGCGGTGTACAGGGTTCATTAGAGTCGCAAACAGGGGTCACTGCTGACAGTGCAGAGCCAGGGTACATGCAACAGATCTCCTCCTCCCCACAAACCAGATAGCTGAAATTGGATTCCCTTATACAGCCACTTTCTGCACAGTGTGTAGCTGGCTACTGCGCTAGCATTCCGACCTAGGATTTTCACAGGTCAGAACTGCAACATACTGTAGCAGCCAGCTATACACTGAGAATCATGGCTGTATAAGGGAATCTGATTTCAGCTCTGTGCTGTGTAGGGAGGAGGAACCTGTGCTCAATGCAGTTCAGGGATGGAAGAGGAGTTCAGCTGCCTGGCATAGCCTTTGGGGTGGAGGGGGTGCAGGGTTGCCAACTCTTGGCATCTTTTGTATTGACAAAAATGTACTGACAGAAAAAATTTTTTACGGACAACCTGAAAAAATTACAGAACAGAATGATGGCATCCAAATGCACTTTGCAAGAGACTGCAGACCTACTACATGAGACAGTCAGAGACTGCACACCTGCTACAGTACAAGAGACGGTCAGAGACTTCGGACATGGTACAAGAGAGACGGTCAGAGGCTGCGGACATGGTACGGGAGACGGTCAGAGGCTGCGGACATGGTACGGGAGACGGTCAGAGGCTGCGGACATGGTACGGGAGACGGTCAGAGTCTGCGGACATGGTACGGGAGACGGTCAGAGGCTGCGGACATGGTACGGGAGACGGTCAGAGTCTGCGGACATGGTACGGGAGACGGTCAGAGGCTGCGGACATGGTACGGGAGACGGTCAGAGTCTGCGGACATGGTACGGGAGACGGTCAGAGGCTGCGGACATGGTACGGGAGACGGTCAGAGTCTGCAGACATGGTACGGGAGACGGTCAGAGGCTGCGGACATGGTACGGGAGATGGTCAGAGCCTGCGGACATGGTACAAGACACGGCCAAAGACTGCGGACATGGTACAGGAGACAATCAGAAACTGCGGACATGGTACAGGAGACAGCCAGAGGCTGCGGACATGGTACAATAGATGGCCAAAGACTGCAGACATGGTACAGGGGACAGCCAAAGACTGCGGACATAGTACAGGAGACGGCCAAAGACTGCGGACATGGTACAGGAGATGGTCAAAGACTGCGGACTTGGTACAGGAGATGGCCAAAGACTGCGTACATGGTACAAGAGACAGCCGGAGGCTGCAGACATGGTACGGGAGACGGTCAGAGGCTGCGGACACGATACAGGAGATGGTTGAGGCTGCGGACACGGTACGGAAGATGGTCAAGGGCTGCGGACACGGTACGGGAGACGGTCAGAGGCTGCGGACACGGTACGGGAGACGGTCAGAGGCTGCGGACACGGTACGGGGAGACGGTCAGGGGCTGCTGACATGGAACGGGAGATGGTCAGGGGCTGCGGACACGGTACGGGAGACGGTCAGAGGCTGCGGACACGATATGGGAGACGGTCAGGGGCTGTGGACAGGGTACGGGAGACGGTCAGAGGCTGCGGACACGATACAGGAGATGGTCAGGGGCTGTGGACATGGTACGGGAGACGGTCAGAGGCTGCGGACACGATACGGGGGATGGTCAGAAGCTGCGGACATGGTACGGGAGACAGTCAGAGGCTGCGGACACGGTACGGGAGATGGTCAGAGGCTGAGGACCCACTACAGAGACTGCAAGCATGCTGCAAGTGTGTCCTAGCAGTGACCGGTGTTCTCCCAGTGTTGGAAAAACACCAGTCAGCGCATATGTGGACAGAGTTTTAAAAAATATAACAAAGTGGCAGAATTCCGCAGCAGTTCAAATTTCTATCTTACAGTCAATCGCTCAAGCACAGTTAGGAGGACAGTAAATGGTTAACACGTCTGACCAGCCTAAATCGTGCAAAGGCAACATAAAAGGAAAGCATGAAATAAATGATGGAGGGCTCACACAGGACTCATCATAAACAGCTGAAAGTCATCACTAGAGATATGTGACACCCTCACATGTAATGCCAGGGGCAGCATCTTCCACAAGTCTCCTGATCGGTAGTCCCCCTCCGGTGTGCAGTGCTAGTGTACACTCAAAAACAAGGAACCCAGCGGGACAAGAACCAGGGGAGTTGTTCCCTAATCAGTGATCATTACCTGACCAGCACACTGCAGGCTGGAAGGGGGACTGATCAGTAGCCTTCTTGAAGATGCTGCAGGTGACATGTCAGAGTGTTGATGATGATTTCCAGCTGTCTGTACAGAGCTCCTTGTGTAGAGTGCTGTGTCATTCATTTACTCTGATTATTATCATACCTTCTAGGGAGTCTGTACTTCCTGTACCCTCTCCCTCCCGCCCCCATCCAGCCCCACTTCCGCTGCCAGCATCATCTCTTGAGTCAAATGTGGCGGGCTGGGAAAGGGGCGGGTTACAGTGCCGTGCTGACTGGCTAAGGAGGCAGAGCTACTCATTAGCAGTCCTTCCCTCCTACTCAGATCAGCAGCGCTATTGGTTGACACACTGATCATCTAGAATGACAGTGATTTTACAGATGTTCGGCAACGCCGGGGGGGGTATTGGCTCTGGAGGGGCA